TTTCGAGAATTCGCCTTGGTCATACAATTGCAACTCACCAATGGATCTTGACGAAGTCTTCCTCCCCAATCTGCAGTTGTGGACAAATTCTTACTATAAAGCACATTCTCTACGACTTGGCTAGAAGTATTGCCCTTAACCCTTTGGACTTTCTACAATCAGCTCCAGAACAGAACATCAATTCAATATAATACTTTATTAATACTACTAAGCTCATTATCTAATATCAATTTATTTAAATTAGAGCCGATAGCCTGTGTTGCTAGTGTTCAATGTCTTTTTTTAGTCTAAGAATTTACTTCATTAGTCTAAAATTATAATAATAATAATAATAAACGGCTTTTATAAACGGTTTATTTATTTTCACTTTATTTTCACTTTATTTTATTTATTTATATGCTTTATTCACTACTTATTCACTACTTCTGTTGTTTTTGTTGTTAAATTGCCAAATTGTTTGTTTGTTTGTATAGAATTTCAACAGATGTTTTTTATTCATTAGTGGACTTTTGCCGACGGCTTTGCAAATTAGCATAGAGTATTATGTAGTAGTTCGCTCTGTAAATAGCATAGAGTATTACGTTCGTTCTGTAAATTAGCCGAAAATTTAGCTGTTTTGTTTAATTTGATAATAAAAAAAAAATTATGGCGGTCTACTTTTAGGCTAACTTGTAAAACTATTATTATTATTATAAATTTATAATCAGTGGATATCTTTCAACCCTTCGCCTAAACATCTTGCAAAACCGTTATTCGCATTGGTTAATAAAGAGTGATTGAATTCTTCATTTTTAAGTGTACCGTAAACGAAAATCTTAAATAATTTTTCCGAAGCTTTTGCCATTTTTTTAAATTAATTTAATTTAGTTTAGTAGAAAATCAAAAAAAAAAAACAAATAAAATAATCAAATGAAAGATATATATTTGTATGTTTATAACACAAAATATACAAAGCAAATTTTACTCTCTTTTGACAAAATAAATTTCTTAGAGTAAAATTTACTTTGCTCTGCATTTTTTATGCAGCCCGTCTGAGGCCTGGTAATATACAGGATATTTCCACCGAAGTATTCGCAACGCTTCACTTCTGGTTATTTTTCCCATGAAGGTCCATGACTGAGCACATGTGATTTGCTTCTGAATGGATCCAATAGTTTGTAATCGAGGAAATATCATTCCTGTGTTTATTAGAGAATAATCGATTTGAAATTTGGAATAAACATTTCACTTTTATATCGCACAAGATGCTCTCAGATAAATAAACGAGTAGATTGACTTATTTTTTGTAGGAAAATAAAATTCCATTGCGATTTTTGACACCCTGTGAGTTTCACCTGAAAAGTAAGCTAAAGTTAATGTTGAAAGAAACTTCTACGCCTAAGTATATAAAAATTATAAACAATTTAAATAATTAAAATAAAAACGTTTTTAAAAAAAAAGGCAAAACAAATGGCATTCTTGTGTCCGACAAGATATATGCGGCGAGATAAAAAAAAGGGTACAAAGCGAAGAACTTAAGCAAAAAAGGTTTTTTTTTTCAAATAACTAAATGCAATGGTTTTTTCTAGCTACAAATGCAAACATCGAACGAGATTTACCATTACCAGGTGGTGCGGCCGTGGGTTTAGGTTTAGGTCGTATCACCGGCTCTTCTAGCATAGAGACTCTGGTAAGAGTAGGAATTGAAAAAGAGCATGGTTTAAGCCCCGATTCGAAAATGGTAGTCTTGCATGACTTTACACCTTGCGTCGATGATGAATTAGAAGTGAAGCGTGGACAAATTATCAATATTTTGTATAGGGAAAACGATTGGGTTTATGTTATCGGTGAAGATTCGCGACAAGAAGGATTTATACCATTTTCTTATTGTGCTCAATATAATACACAACTTGCAGACCTTGCTTTTAAAAAGAAATTACCTAGAGAACGTGATAATGTACAAAGTGGAGAAATTAATGATAGCAAAACTTTATTAACTGGAGGAGGAGCACCTGTTGCGAGCGACTCCCCGAAAGTGGATTTGATTGAGGAAGTTAACATTGCCCAAGTAGCTTTAAAAAGTGTCGTAGCGGACTTGCCTACAACATTAATATTGGAATCGGAATGTACTACTTTTCAGAAAGAGGCAAATGGCCGTTTTATAGTATTATACACATTCATAGCACGCGACGAAAATGACGTGTCAGTAGAGAGAGGAGAATTTATTACTTTATTAAATCGTGATGACCCAGAATGGTTTTGGATAGTACGTAATGACGGTCAAGAAGGCTTCATACCAGCAGCTTTTGTTTATCCCGCTGACAGTGTGATGCAAACCCAGCAGAAACTATTGGAAGCAGGTATAAATAAAAATAATGATTTAACCGCAACAACAGGCAATCTGAATTCTTTAAGTCAACCGGTTAACATAATGGATAATATTCTGCAACAGCAACAACATTCAGCTAATAGCTCAGCTCATTTACCAGCCGATGATTTACGTTATGGTACCGAATTAGTGATGTTATATGATTACAAGGTAGGAAAATTAATGCTTTTGTCTAAAAGAAAACAAAAAAAATCCTCGAATAACTTTTTTCAGGCCCAAGCTCCAGACGATTTGAGCGTTAAGCGGGGAGATTGGATATATGCTGATTTAAACAATCAAACCGTAGATGGCTGGCTATGGGCTTATGCTCCCAAAACTCGCAAATATGGATTCATTCCTAAGGCTTACGCTAGACCGCCAGCCATGACTAGCCTTTAAGTAAATAAAACAGTTATTTTATATTTTAACATATCAAAAAAAAAAAAAAAAAAATAGAAAAGATTCATTTTACATTACAAAAGTATATGTTTTTACATTAATATATATGTATGTATATAAGAACATTTTTAAGAATCCTTTAAGGTCACTTGTATACAGAATAACATAATGTGTGTGTATGTTTGTGTTTAATATTTAAAAATATGCGGAAATTTATTGCTTTCCAAGAAAATACGAGCTAGTGAAATAAAAAGATATACAAGATTTTACTTATCACTAACCTGTAAATAAATTGATAACGTATGCATACAACATAAGTTTGCATTCTTCTCAGAATATTGAAATTTAACATAATAAATGTATATATTAGGTTCCTGGTTCTTTTCTTTTTTTTATTGTCATTCAAATAATTTATTGCAGCAATCTTCTCATTATTTGCTTGCATTTGACTTGACGTTACAACTCCTGGAGAAGAAAAGGAGAAAAAAATGTTTTTTTTTATTAAAGTACGGAATGTTGTATACATATTTGCAAACCAAATGAAAATCATTTCGTCAAAAGCTTGACAAAAGCGAAAAGTATTCAAAAATATTTTATAATAAATAAAACCACGTTTATGAAGGAAATTTGAAAGCGCATAAAGAATATCAAACGTGATCTTGATTCAGTTATTTCATTTCTTAAAGCCACGTAAAAGTGTAAAATAACGAAATTACACAAATAAAAAATTTTAAGTTATAATTCCCAAGATTTACAAAATATTTGTGATTCAAATTTCTAAAAAAAATTTTGGAACTTTAATCTCTAACAATTTTTAGGAACGCTTTTCAAAAATTACGAATATTTATACAAATTTTTTTTGTTCTTTTTTTTACTTCTTTGGTACAAATGCTTTTAGAAAGGTATGTTTAAAATAATTTTAATTAAAATAAACTGGCAAAGAGATCTAAAGTTTTTTTACACTTACGTTAACTCAAATAACTTACTTTAACAGTTTTTTCAGTTGCTCTTTCTCTTGCAGCTCTTCACGTAACTTTTGTTGTAAACTTAAAATTAAATCATTTTTTGCCGTAATTTGCATTTTAAGATGAGCTATGGTTTCTTCTTGAGCTTCAAAAATCGCCTTGATTTGGTTTACATAAATGAAAAGTAAAAAAATTAATAAAAAAACTGCATACTTTTTGTAACACCCTCACCCTACACTCTTCCATTGATTCCGAATACGTAGGAGGTTCATCTAAGCAGAAGAACTCGCGGACAAACTGAGATTTTCTCAATTCTTCATTATTCATTACCGTATTGACAAACATTTGCAAGCCTTGAACACGATTATCAAGGAACATAGGATTAAAGTTATCACCAAATACTTTTTTACGTGGCAAATTTAAGGTGACATGCGGGAACATTTGCTTAAGTTTATTATTTAAACGCACAAAATCTGTGTAACGTCTTAATACCAACCAACAATCATTAGAATGAGGATTTTCGACACGCAATTTATAGACAGTAAAACGGGCACGTTCTTCCATAACCTCGTACCCGATAATTGGAATATGCAAAACACTTTGTGGGTCAACTGCTGATGGTACAATATGAGAAATTAATCCACCACCAGAAGATAAAGTTATTTCACTATTGGCTGAGGAGTGGCAGCTTGGTCCACGTCTATAATTGCCTTCACTCATTCGCCTTGGTGTTACCTCTGTACTTAAGCGATTTGTAGACGCATAAGAAGATTGTGTTAAATCACGATGAGAACGAGCACCAGAAAGCATTTTTTTCCTGCGGTTATCGCAGCTTATTGCCCTTCTATTAGTTTGGTCAACGTCTGATTCAAACGTTGTTGTTGTTTTCGCGTCTTGATGGTAATTATGTGTTTTTATCGTCTTTAAACACACTTCAGATTTGGCATTAAGTAAAGCACCGTTATCATATTCTTCGCTCCTTCGACTATTTAATAATCTATTGAGATCGCCGTCAGATTTTGTGCGCACTAATTGGAATGGAAGTTGTCTAGATTTTAATTCTGGATTTGATTTTGTTGCTCGCCCTAAGATCTGATATTGCTGTTGTATTGACAATGAAGTTAAATTCGAATGTATTTTATTAAAGGTTTTATTAGAACTTTCTACATTGTTTACATGTGACGTTTTCGTTTTGTTGGATTTTTTAAATAAACTGATCCTACCATTGCTATTAGTGGATGGTAATGAACTTTCGCGCTTTTTTATAGCACGCAAAGACATTGGTTAGTTGAATGAGATCCTTTTTCTCTATGAAAGCATTTAAATCACTTGCAGTATAATAAGAATAATGTTTTCGCGTAAACGAATGGAGTTTATTTTTTCTTTTCCCTTCAACTTTGCTTAAAATTTTCTTAAAAACATGAAAATGTTAATGTGCACTTAAGAGAAAATTACAATATTGTTTAAATTAAAATTAAAATTACATAGACTGAAAGAAAAAAAAAAGTGCTGTATTGTGATTATTGATATTGTTTTGTTTTCCTTGTTTTGGACCAATACTGTCAATAATGTCAAAAATATCAAAACGCCATTACAAAAATCACAAATATTACAAGAATGCTCAATTATAGTTATAGTGATAGCTGGCATTATCATTATCATTAAAGAGCTAAAGTTAATTATTTTTGCTAACCATTCATAAAAATATGCACATTTTAAAGCTCAAAGATGCAAAAAAAAGTCAATATAAAGAACCAACATGCCAAATTTTGATAAGAAAGGGTACAATCTGCGTAGATAAAAAAGATCTACAGTAGATGTTGAAAAATATATTTGTATTATTCTTTTCGCAATCATTCTTTTAAGAAGAACCGGTTTTTTTAGATACGTTTTTGACAACTATGTAAACGTACATTTTTTTTTCCGGTAACCAAATAAAGTGCAACATCCAGCAAATTTGTATAGCTTGAAAAAATTACTATGCTGGTACATTTAATTTACGTAAAAGTTAAAAAAAAATTGACAAATTACTTTGAGCACTCGTTACTCGCGTGCTAGTTCACGTTTTTTAAAAATGCAAAAATATGTATATGCAATTATATGTAATATCTCCTCACATATTTCAACAAATATCTCATTTTATTTGCGAATTATATTAAAAGACAACCTGTACAATGCAATGCGAACGTATTAAAAAGTAATTTTTAAATAGAAAATAAAAAAAAAAAAATAAGAAGGAATTCGTGTTTATTTCTTTTATTTCACATTTTCTATAAAATAATACATAATAGCAGTATTTCAAATCATATTAAAAAAAAAATATATAAAATAACACAATATACATATAACTTATATTAATAATTTCTAACTTTTAACGAATAGTCTATATTTTCTGCATTTTTCATTTTATTTGATGATTTCCTACTTGCCACCAAGCCTCGTAAAAATTTAAGCAAGTTGAATTCCATCCCTAAAAACGCAAACCTCATTGTGTTTAGGCCCTACGCATAAATTTTCAAACTACGTATACTCTGCCAATATGCCGCGAAAAGGTAGTAACTAGTAATAAAATATTGAATGACAACTAAAGCCTAAACATGCCTACCTGGAATCAAATCCAATCACAACTTCGTAATGTTAACAATCCAGTCGTATTTTTTGATATATCCGTTGGTACTACGGTAAGCCTTTCTAATTACAAGCACTAGTTGCTTAATGGAAAAATACATTGTTTTTAGGAAATTGGTCGTATGATATTTGAATTATTTGCTGATACAGTGCCAAAAACCGCAGAAAACTTTCGACAATTTTGTACTGGAGAATGTCAACCTGATGGGGCAGTGCCGCTCGGTTATAAAGGTCTGTACGAATGTAACAAAAAACAGAAAGTGGCCCATCACAAACCTTAAGAACATTCATAGTACAATACACAATACCGTACTTGTAGAACCTGAGCGGTTTATTTACCATACTTGTGGAATCTGGGCGGTTTATTTACCGTATTCGTGAAATCTGGGCGGTTCATTTACTGAATTTGTGGAATCTGGTCGCTCAGGTGCACGCAATTTTTATACATGCGACAGCTGTTAATAAAACAAACACATACTGTACTACAAAGGCTATGTAGAATATTATAACTCGTTCGTTTTTGACAAGTAATTTATTCGAAAGTTCAAAAATTATTGAACTCAGTTGTTCCAGCAGGAACTCGAGAATTTGCGAATGACTTTTAATACCGTAAAGCTATTATCGACAGTAACATTTTCGACTTCGTTCTTAAAAGCAGGGTTTTCGTCTGAGGGGCAGGGGGACTTATGTGCTTCGATTAACAACCTAATAGTCGTGATTTCAAATCTCCAGTACGGTAAAGTTTTCAATAAATCTGATTGTGTTATGTACTAGTATGACATTTTACATCAGAACTATTTGCCTAGTTCTGAAAGCTACCAAAACTCTACTACACTCACAAAAAAGAATAATCAAAAGGGACAGTATAAATTAATATATTACGCTTTAATTTATTTCAAGGAGCCGGCTTTCACCGGGTTATCAAAGATTTCATGATACAAGGAGGTGATTTCGTTAATGTTTGTATTTAGGGACTTATCAATAGGTAGAACGTTAATTACAGTTTTTGTTTTTGCAGGGCGACGGGACCGGTGTGATGAGTATTTATGGTAATACATTTTCGGATGAGAACTTTATCTTAAAGCACGATTCTCCTGGTTTGCTGTCAATGGCTAATAGTGGCAAAGACACAAATGGTTGCCAATTTTTTATAACTTGTGCTAAATGCAACTTTTTAGATGGGAAACATGTGGTCTTTGGACGTGTTTTGGATGGCTTATTAATAATGCGCAAAATTGAAAATGTCCCTACAGGACCTAATAATAAGCCCAAGCTACCGGTAACAATATCACAATGTGGTCAAATGTAGACTATTTTTTATGTACCAACATAATTGTAATTTTTTAATATATTGTAAAAAACGGGAAATATAACCTCATTTATTTTTACATTCAATTAAATTTCTTTGTCAAAAATAAACGCCTTGTCCTTATGTTCCGTGCGCAACATTTTACAGTCTTCAATGACAAAACTGTAAAATAATGGGGCAAGGAAGGCGGTTGACAAATGCCATAAAGCATGAGCGTCAATAATCCATAAAATTGGACGAAAATCTAAAAGTTCCAAACTCATACTTAATCCCATTAATAAATAGAAAGTCTGTATTTTACGATAATACGGACGGTAATGTCGCACACGGAAAGACCAGAGAATCCAGCCTAAGCCTCCCAAAACACCTAGGAAAAATAAGAATAATATAATA